CATAAGCAAAATGAAAGAACAACAGACTTGATGTCTTTTGAAAAAAATTTAGGCCTGGGTGCAGTGGCTCATGCCTGTAATCCCAGCACTTTGGGAGGCCAAAGCAGGCAGATCACTCCTGAGGTCAGGAGTTAGAGACCAGTCTGACCAACAACGTGAAACTCCATCTCTACTAATAATACAAAAAAATTAGCTGGATGTGGTGGCACACGATTGTAATCCCAGCTACTCAGGAGGCTGAGGCAGGAGAATCACTTGAACCCAGGAAGCAGATGTTGCAGTGAGCCAAGATCCAGCCACTGCACTCCAGCCTGGGTGACAAGAGCAAAACTCCATCTCAAAAAAAAAAAAAAAAAAAAAAAAGTATTTGGAAAGCTTCCCAGTTGGGATCTGTCCACCTACCCAGGGCAACACGATGATATTGACATCTCTTAGCTTTTACAGAATTTTCTGTCTACAATGCAGAGGGCGAAGAAGGGGTATTGTCAGCTTGGCTTTGCTGTCTCTCAGTGACAGTCTGTTGTATACATAAATAAGATGAATTTTCATAAAAGCATTAATAGAGCATTAGTTTCACCTCAGAAAGAAAATGAAAAAGCAAACTACAAGAGTAGTCAAAGAAGAAATTAAAATATAGGTAAATAGTAATCAGATCGAGAAAAATCAGTGCAAAGGTTTAACTTGTAATCTATTCTTTTTAAAGATACCAGTACACAAAGATTGGGAAAGTTTATTAAAAATGTTACCAAACTTTAAGTTCTTCTTGTTTTTTTTTCTTTTTTTTTTTGAAACAGGGTCTCATTCTTTCACCCAGGCTGGACTGCAGTAGCATGATCTCAGCTCACCGCAGCCTCAGCCTCCCAAGCTCAAGGGATCCTCCCACCTCAGCCTCCCAAGTAGCTGGGACTAAGTTCTTTTTCACTCCCTTAGGTTGAGCTATTCGAACATCACTGTTTCCCATGCAAACGTTGAGACCTTCATTAAGCTCTCCTTGCTTACCCTGCCATTTCACTTCAGGTGTCACCTCCTTTAAGAAGCTACCCCTTGCCAGGTGTGGCGGCTCACACCTTTAATCCCAGCTCTTAGGGAGGCAGAGGCAGGAGGATAGCTTGAGCCCAGGAAATTGAGACCTGCCTGGGCAGTATAGCGAGACCCCATTCTCCACAAAAAGAAAAAAAGCAAACAAAAACACGCATAAGAAGCTACCCTTGAGCCCACTGCAGCCTCAATCTGATTTTTGAAGCTGTTTCCTGGGAGCCCAGGGCATCCTGGCACAGAGGCACTGCTATGGCAAAGGCATTGGTCTGCCCTCCCCACCAACTCTGAGCTCTTCAGAGGCAGGAATATGATATATACAAGCAGTTCATTTAATCTCCATGAGCTGAAATGACTCATTTGTCTTAATAATGTTGTCATTTTAAAGTACAGAATTTGAGAGCTGGACAGAATCTCAAATACCAATTATTCCAACACTCCACTCTTTTCTGAGGCTTTAAATGACTTGCTCCAAGTTAGAAAACAATCAGGACCCGAAGCCAAACCTTGAAAATGCTGTTCTAATACTTTGTGCCTGCATCCCATGCTGCCTTGCCTTTGTAAATTCACAGGACTAAATAAGGGGATCCTAAAAGCTGTGTTCAATTCCCCCTTCACTTCTATGCCTGGTCAATTTTACAAGCAAAGAAACACCACTGGAGGCAATGAAGGGCCGTTCTCACAGTTACATGGTTCACAGCAGAGCTGGGATGAAAACTCAGATCTAATATGAGGGACCATGTTCTTCCCACTATCTCATAAAAACTCAACTTTCAAGTACAGGTCATGGGTGTAGAGCAAAGGTCAGCATTGGCACAGGGGCCAAATCCTGCGGGCCATCTCTTTTTGAGTATGGCTTACAAGCTAAGAATGGTTTTTACATTTTAAAATGGTTATAAAACAAGAAATCATACTTTATGAAGTATATGAAGTTCAAATTTCAGTGTCCATGAATAAAGTGTGGTTGGAACATAGTCACGATCTTTTGTTTAGGTCCTGTTTATGGCTGCTCTTGAGTAACAGGGCAGAGCTGAGAAGTTGTGAAAGAGACCTCAAGAAACAAAACCGCACACCTAAAACCATCTGATCTTCAACAAAGTCGACAAAAATAAGGAATGGAGAAAGGACTCCCTATTCAATAAATGGTGCTTGCTAGCCATATGCAGAATAAAATTGGACCCCTATCTATCACCATATACAAAAATTCATTCAAGATGGATTAAGGTTTAAATGTGAGACCTCAAACCATAAGAATCCTAGAAGAAAGCCTAGGAAATACCATTCCGCATCGGCCTTGGGAAAGAATTTATGACTAAGTCCTCAAAAGCAATCGCAACAAAAACAAAAATGACAAATGGGACCTAATTAAACTAAAGAGCTTTTGCACAACAAGAGACACTATTAAGAGAGTAAACAGACAACCCTCAGAGTGGGAGAAAATATTCACAAACTATGCATTTAAGAAAGGTCTACAAATCAACAAGCAAAAAAACAAATAACCCCATTAAAAAATAGGCGAAAGATATGAACAGACACTTCTCAGAAGAAGACATACAAGCAGCCAACAAACATATGAAAAAATGTTCATCATCACTAATCATCAGAGAAATGCAAATCAAAACCACAATGAGATAACATCTCACACCAGTCAGAATGGCTTTCGTTAAAAAGTCAAAAAATAACAGATGTTGGTGAGGCTGCAGAGAAAAGGGAACACTTATACACTGTTGGTGAGAATGTAAATTAGTCCTGCCACCGTGGAAAGTACTTTAGAGATTTCTCAAAGAAATAAGAGCTGAACTACCGTTCGACCCAGCAATCCCATTACTAGGTATATGCCCAAAGGAAAATAAATTGTTCTACCAAAAAGACACCAAAACCAGATATTGCATGTTCTCACTTAAGTGGGAGCTAAACACTGGGTACAAGCAAACTTAAAGATGGGAGGCTGGGCGCAGTGGCTCACGCCTGTAATCCCAGCACTCTGTGAGGCCGAGGCGGGCAGATCATGAGGTCAGGAGTTCAAGACCAGCCTGGCCAACATGGTGAAACCCTGTCTCTACTAAAAAAACAAAAATTAGCCAGTCATGGTGGCATGCGGCTATAGTCCCAGCTACTCGGGAGGTTGAAGCAGGAGAATCGCTTGAACCTGGGAGGCAGAGGTTATGGTGAGCCAAGATCATGCCACTGCATTCCAGCCTGGGCAACAGAGCAAGACACTATCTCAAAAAAAAAAAAAAAGGCTTAAAGATGGGACCAACAGACAGTGGGGACTACTAGAAGGAGAAAAGAGAGGGGGCTGAAAAACTACCCACTGGGTACAATGAAATTTTTTTTTCATTCATACCCCAAACCTCAGCATCACATAATGTATCTCTGTAACAAACCTGCACAAATACCCTCTGATTCTCAAGTAAAAGTTTTCTAAAAACTGCAGTCTAAAATATTTAGTATCTGGACATCTCCAGAAGTTTGTCAACCCCTAGTGAGGAAGAATAAGCCCTCTTAGAAGTCAGAAGAAAATAAGTTCTACTACCATCAAACTCCACAGCCCTTAGTTTAGAAAAAACAAAGGGAGGCTGGGTGAAGGGCTCACGCCTGTAATCCCAACACGCTGGGAGGCCAAGGCAGGAGCACTGCTTGAGGCCAGAAGTTTGAGACCAGTCTGGGCAACATAGAAAGACCCTGTCTCTACAAAAAAATAATAATAAAATAAAATAAAATTAGCCCAGTGTGGTGGCTCATGCCTCTAGTCCCAGTTACTCAGGAGGCTGAGGCAGGAGGATCACTAGAGCCCAGGAGTTCGAGCCTGCAGTGAACCATGATCATGCCACTGCACTCCAGGCGGGGCAACAGAGTGAGACCCTGTCTCTAAAACAAATAAAATAAAATAAAAACAAAGGGTTTAGATGAAACTGATGCACTACTTTCATTCTGTCACATTTTCATGCTTTCATGCTGAATGAGAGGGCACTCATCCTGGGAGTTCATGCCACCCAGATGGGCAGGGGTTAAACTGAGACCTGTCTAGGTTGAAAGAAGCAGTAGGAAGGCACAGGAACAAGAGGCTTCCAAGAGCATGCCCTCCCCTCTATTCCAAATGCACCTAAATGCCTGGTAAGATATTTGCCAGCTCACTCACGTGATTCCAAGATAGGGAGTTTCCCTTGATTCTGAGAGTAACTCAGCCCACCTAAATGGAGGAAGCAAGGGCCAAGCACGACCTTTTTTTTTTTTTTTTTTTTTTGAGACAGAGTCTCATTCTGTCACCCAGTTTGGAGTGCAATGGTACAATCTCGGCTCACTGCAACCTCTGCCTCCCAGGTTCAAGTGATTCTCCTGCCTCAGCCTCCTGAGTAGCTAGGACTACAGGTGTGCACCACCATGCCTGGCTAATTTTTGTCATTCTAGTAGAGACAGGGTTTCACCATGTTGGCCAGGAAGCTGGCCTCAAACTCCTGACCTCAGGTGATCCACCTATCTTGGCCTCCCAAAGTGCTGGGATTACAGGCGTGAGCCACCACACCTGGCCCAAGCACAACCTTTTAGGGTCAGCCACCTGAAGTGGAATCCTACATTGGCCACTTACTCCCTATGAATCCTAGGGCCAGTTAGGGATCCCTGGGTTTTCTCACCTAAGAAGGTAAGTACTTCCTTCACAGGCTTGTTTGGAGGATTCAATGAAACACACTCAAACTTCAGCTCCCTTCTAATCATTCTCTCTCTCCCTTTCCCAGAGACAGTATTTGGAGAGTAACAGAAACCAAGCCTTGTTAGGAAAGTTTCTTTCAAATTAGCTTAGAGTTAAAAAAAATTTTTTTTCTAGAGCCCTAGAAAAAAACGCCCAATCAGTGCAATAAAAATAGGCTCAAGTGTTCAGTTGGGTATTTTCCTCTCATATCTTTTAGTTATTTGAAGCTTCTTCCAAATTATAATCCAAAAATAAGAGCGC